TAGCGTAGCAATTTTTACTTTCCGCAATTTATCGCTTTCATATAAATGTTAGTAATTAGGGTTTGTATGGCAAGACTAAAATCAACATTAGTAAACCCTAATTCAAGATAAACAATGCATGTAAATCAAACACACTTGCACACTTGCACTCCTAGGGTAATTCCACTCATTGCCTTACAAAAATAGCCATGTTATGTATGTGGGATGTCTTAGAAAAAACAAATAAAAAATACAAGATCATAGTCCCTCGATGACGCTACGAATATTGCCTTTCAAATGATCTTAGTCCCTCAAAGAGAAATACTAAGATATCTCACAACATTGTTATCATGACTATACGATGACCCACGATGTCCCTTTACATCCAAAGATAAGGCTTCTTACCAAATCAATGGTAAGATAGCAATATTAAAGGAAGGAATAAATGAACAAAGACTTTTGAGTAGGTAGATTGTTCCTAGTTGCTTGCTCACTTTCAAATCAAACATCCTTGCTCATTTTTAAAACAAACACCAAACACTTTCAAAAACAAACTTTCAAAACATGAAACATTTTCAAAATTCCAACACTTTGTATACGTTCTTACGAACAAGAACTATTACAAAGTTTACCTAAACAAAGGCGCCTTTTCAAAATACTTTCAGAAAACACCACAAATCACATTTTCAAACAAAAACAAGTAATCTAGCAAGCAATTAAGAGCCCATGGATAACTATGGATGAAAATGGTGCTAACACATTCCCTTTTCACAATATACCCCCTGAACTCAAGAAATAATCTCAAAGGTATTTTCTGTTCTTTTCCACCTTTCCTTTTGGATAAAAGAAAAGTCAGTGGCGACTCTTGCTAACCGCAATATTTGCGATCAAACGCAGAACATCCCAAGTCATTTCTCCCACTGTATCACAGTTCTCAAATCTGGTAGTGAGAAGTTGAAGTCTGGACATCTTCACTTTGGATGTGCCTTCATGAGTTGTCTTAAGAATTTCCCAAGCATCTTTAGCAACAATACAAGAATTTATTAACCTGAAAACATTCTTGTCCACTTCATTAAATAGAGCATTCAAGGTTTTAGAATTTCCAAGAGCTAATTAATCTTCCTCTTTCAACCAATCTTCTTTTGGCTTCAAAGACTCATTCCCGTCTTTTTCCTTCACAACAAGATGATTCCATCCTTTCAAAACAGCCTTCCAAGATTTGTTGTCCATAGATTTCAAAAGTCTAGCATTCTAACCTTACAATAATCATAGTTTGCCCAATCTAATAGAGGTGGTCTATTATTGTATCCTCTCTTCCTTGTCCATAGTACCAGAAAATATTCTACCTAAAGCTCACCCAAAAACAGAACAGGGTGCCTGCTCTGATGCTAATTGAAATTCTGGCACTTTACAATATATGTTGAGACTGATGTCACAACACCAAAACACGATGTCAAGACAGATTTTATGACATCGTCTACCGGACATAACAATTTTACCAAAATAGAAATTATGCAAAATTAAATTGCAGAAGGTAAAAGACACAATCAAATTGTTAACCCAGTTTAGTGCAACATCGCCTAATTTGAGGGCATCCAAACAAGGAAGGAAATCCACTATGATATTATTAGTTAAAAGCTAAACAACCCTAGTTTAAAACTTATCACTTAACCCCTACCTTGTGCAACTTTTACCTAGAAACCTTCTATATGTGAGATCCCTCTCTCACTTCCCACGGTCACCTCAGTGACAATAACAAAAGACAAAAGACACACACACTTCCAATTACAATACTCAGTTTTTCTTAAAAGCTTTTGAATGAGAAAAATAACTTGACACACAATCTACTATTTGCTTAAAATCTCATGAGTGATTGACAAGTAACAATGAACAATCTGTCAAACTCTATGTATCAACATGATACATGAGTGGCATACAAAAACAAAGCACACTAAAAGTACTCTAAAACCCTAAGACCTTGTAAAAAAAATTCTCCTAATTTTCAATTAAGTTCACACTTTTTACATTAGGTTTAGGTTTCTATTTATAAACTCCCCAGCAACCCATGGGATTTGAAATATTCACCCAAATTATTGTTGATCCACAAGCTGAAGGCTGCACCAATTATGTAAAAAAATCTCCTTGATTTAAGGAACAAAAATATCAAGTTTCCTAAATTGTCTCAAGATCCAATTTTAGAAACTTAATGTGCAGTTGAAGATCAAATCAATTATTCCAAATGAAATCTTCTTGAGCTACGAAAATAAGTGAGATGTATCCAAGAGAATCTCACAAAATTAAATCCAATCTGTCAAGAAAATAACATCATATTTTGTTGTATCAGTTGGTCAATATGTCATCACATCTTGCTCAACATCTGGCTGTGATACATGTTTTCCCAAATGAAACATGTTTTACCAAAATTATTTCCAATCATAAAATCACAGACCTAACAATACTATAATTAATATTTGTCATAGTAATTAGGTTGTACTAAGACAGGGCATCAACCTCAAGAACTTATGGAATCAGGACCATAATATTAGAGTTAAAATGAGGTAAGTTAGAGTTGGTAGAGAAAATTCTAAAATAGCTTGATGTGCATCATTTCTAAAGATGGACCAATAAGTTTGAAAGAAGTGTCCTCCAAAGCCATATGGCCCAGAAGAATGTCTTTGTTAAGGCTAAAAATTGCAAAATTGATTTCCATAATAGAGGGAGGTTATGAAAGTAAGAAAATTGCTTGTGGTTTAATCAATCAAAGAAGGGATGGTTTCTTAAATAATATTATTGTGTTAGACATCATCGGAGGCAGAGAAAAGATTGGTAAAGAGGTTTACAACATGAATTGCAATGTGTGGGGGATTAGTGATGACTTAATTATTCACCCTAATGGAGGGCATTTTTTGTAAGCTTGTTTGATTTTGGAAGTTCTGTGAAAATAGGTTGTGTTATTCTCCCTATTTGAATACCATTTGACTTTAGATTTTTGCTGCAAAAAAATCTCTTTAAGATGCAAAACTTTCTCAAGGTAAATCTTGGCTGGAATCTCTTAGGTGCTTAGAGTGTCAGAGTAACCATGCAAACTGATATTGGCTTAGATTGTCAATTTTGACAATAACTTTTGTGACATTGGAGTGCATCATTCCAAAAGTAGATATGTTCCAGGTGTTTAGCTCACATTTTAACATCTTGAGTTTTTGACTTAAATCAAGCATAGGTGTACTAAAAAAAATTCTGCTCTAATTTTTTTTAATGATGTTGGAACAATCTTTATGGTCAGACCATATTTTTTAAAATTTTAAGTTAGTAATGTACATGTTATGATGAGCTTGAAAGTCTAGCAAGATTAGATAATGGTTTGATATGTGCCTTAAGAGAGTAGAGCATGATATAGTGTGGCAAGAGGTTAACCACAAATGACTTCATATAGCCCTGTTCAATCTCTTCTCAATGAGGTCATAATCAGGTTTACCATTTGACCAAATGTATTTGCAGCCTTTAGTTAGAATGTGCACCAAATATTAGAGTTAGACCAAGATAGAAAGTCTTCCATAAGGCCTTTTGCAATAGATTGATGACCTTTATATTCATGAGATCCCATAATAGCATTGAAGTCACCAATGTATATCCAATGGATATCTTGAGTTACTAGATCTTGAATGATGTTATACTAAAGATTCCTTATGACAAGATAATTTGTTAAAGTATAGACTGCAAAAATGCCAAAAGTTAAGCCACAACAAGTGAAGATGAAAGAAACATGTTGATGACACTCTGTCATTACATATATTCTATCGAAAACAGAGAAAATTGAGCCGACAATCATTTAATTTGATGAAGAATAGCCTAAGAACAAAGCAAAACGAACAAAGTATGAAGAAATATAGACTTGGGGAAAATTTGGCTGAAAAAGAACAAAATGTGTGCCAGTCAATGGAATAATCATGCAGGAATCGTGCACACTCGCATGCACAATGAGCTTGGATCAATTGCATCATACATGATGCAGGCTATCATGCGCACGATGGGATTTTCTATGAAAAATTTTCTGACGCGTCCTAGCACTTCTTGACAGCTTTAAAAAGGGGTTTTTTTGCCACTTTTCAAGGGTTCTGTGATTCTACACTGCAAGTACGATTTTACAACACTAGAAGGCATATTTAGAGTAATTAGAGGCCAGTTCTTCCAGGGGTCTTCCAAGAAGAAGAAGAAGAAGAAGAAGAAGAAGAAGAAGAAGACGATGAAGACGAAGAAGACGAAGAAGAAGAAGAAGAAGAAGAAGAAGAAGAAGACAACGAAGAAGAAGAAGAAGAAGAAGAAGAAGAAGAAGAAGAAGAAGAAGAAGAAGAAGAAGAAGAAGACGAAGAAGACGAAGAAGAAGACGATGACGACGAAGACGAAGACGAAGACAAAGAAGAAGAAGAAGAAGAAGACAAAAACGAAGAAGAAGAAGAAGAAGAAGAAGAAGAAGAAGAAGAAGAAGACGAAGAAGACGACGACGAAGAAGAAGAAGAAGAAGAAGAAGAAGACGAAGACGAAGACGAAGAAGAAGAAGAAGACGAAGAAGACGAAGAAGAAGAAGAAGAAGAAGAAGAAGAAGACAAAGAAGAAGAAGAAGAAGAAGAAGAAGAAAGAAGAAGAAGAAGAAGGAGAAGAAGAAGAAGAAGAAGAAAGAAGAAGAAGAAGACGGAGACGAAGAAGAAGGAAGAAGAATAAGAATAAGAAGAAGAAGAAGAAGAAGAAAGAAGAAGAAGAAAGAAGAAGACGAAGAAGAAGGAAGAAGAAGAAGAAGACGAAGAAGAAGAAAGAAGAAAACGAAGAAGAAGGAAGAAGAAGAAGAAGAAGAAAGAAGAAGACGAAGAAGAAGAAAATCTTATAATTACATTCTATAAATTAGTTAACTCTAATGTGTATAAACATACATTAAGACTACATAAGTTAAGTCCAAATCTTATGTATACATAACTCTTTTCTATATAATAATGAATCTCTATATATAAAGAAATAGAACATATGGATCAACAAGGAAAAAGCAAAAATGAAGCCTCCACTAGAATCTTCCTGTCGACAAATTTAATTTGGTTTAAATTTTCACTACACCATAATAGGTGATCTTTTGTCAACTTTTTCATCTTAATCACTCTTGAAATCAACTTCAACTCCACTTGAGCCCGCAACAAATCATGGTCCAATTGAATTTGATCCTTATTGTATTTTTGGAACTTTCTAACTATGCAATTTCCACTTCTCAATATGTCTTTGAGCTTTCTCTCCTTCTACAATACATTTTAAACCCAATTTTGTAAGAATATGTCCATAAAAAGAAAGTGTAATTAAAAAATATGAAAAAAACCTTATGTAATTGGGTTCGGATATCTCCAAGGACACTTGAAATTTCTTTATGCTTGACCTCATTTTCTCTATAATGAGATGTTTTATGAAACACATTCCCATCATCTTTATCTGCATTCACAAATTCCAAAAAAACTTGCATGGATTCCTTAATTATGTGCTCTAGCCTTTCACAACCAATTGCACCCTCTTCACTCCATTTAACTTTTTTCTTATCCTTTGCACTATCATCTGCGAAACAATCACAACAATATTGTTATCTTACAAAGTATTATAAATGATAGAAAATATAAGTTAGACCATCTAATGACACAAAAACTCACTTTTTAAATTTACTGAATAATTATTAAATTTAAAATAATAACTGAACTTTTATTTATAATAATAACAGAAAATTGTATTGAGTAGGAACATATGTGTGAGTGTCGAACATTGACACGACACATGTTCAACAATGCAATATATAATATAATAATAGTAAACTTTTGTTATACCTTTTATGCTTGGAACTTTGAGCAAGTTGGGAATGAGACAACGATTCTGGACATAATATTCAACCCTATGACCTTGTTGAAATGGTTCATCCTCTAAAAAGCGTTGCAAAAGAACTTGAAAAAGTTGAAATTCACCGGCAACTATATTATACCTACGAGGCCATTGTGACTCATATTTTTTCAACTCTTGAATTTTTTCATGCTGCCAACATAGGATTTCCCAAGAGAAACAAATTTGGCTAACATAAACAAGTTCTAAATCCCTATGCAATTCATTAATAAATTTCAACATTGGATCAAATGTGTTCTTTTGCGCTTTGCGTGACCATAAATTATGAGAAATCACTAAAGGCTTGATATGTTTGACGATTGATTTTTGCATTAAAACTAATTTTGAAGGGTCTTTTAGTTGAAGAAAACCTACATCAAAGGTTAAATAGGTAATTTAGTTAGTCAATAAAACTAAAGAAAGAATAACAATAATATTTATTATTAAAAATGAGATATTGCTGATTTAAACCCATGTCTCAATATTCAAATTTTTCTTGAGTTAACTTGTCAGAATAATAGTGATTTTTTATTTTGTAGATATGATAAAATATAATGGTTCTAATCTATATAATATATAATATGAAGTTAATGCAAGTGATTTATCATAGAAAAAAGAAATTAAATAATTTGGTTCTCACTCACCTATTGCATGCATGGTCTGATAACTCAAGACATCAAGTTTCTTTATTTTTTGTGCATAACAATTATGAACCTTTTGAATTTCAACAATGTGATCTTTGTATTCCATCTTCTCTTCAATACTCAATGGTTGTATTTTCTCTTCAACAACTTTTGTAGAGTAATCTCTTTCTTCATCTTCAAAAATTGTTTCAAGTCCTCCTTGTCTTGCAATTTTTAATTCCAATTTGATTTGTTCCATTTCCTCATCATTCTCATACTCATATTCATCCTCATCTTCTTCTTCATATTCCATTTCATCAAACTCTTCTTCACACATTGTTTCTTTATATGTCTCTTCTCCATGGTATGATGAATCTTCCTTTTCATTTTTGCACTCAACAAGATCATGTGAAACTACTTCTCTATCACATGAAAATTGAGTTTCCTTCAAACCTTCCATTTCCTTGAGATTTTCACATTCACATTCTTCACTAGAATTGATAGAGAATATAATCTTATTTTTTAAAATACCCTCTTCACCTTTTCCTTGATCAACATGGCATGCCTCTAATTTATGCTCTAATAATTCCTTTTTGACTTCATTTTCATTGATGGAGACATTTCTTAGAAAAGAGAAGCTTGTAAAGGCCATAGTTTCTTCTTCCAAATCACCAATATCTTTTTGTGACACAAATTGAACATTACTTGCTGTTGCATCATAGCTATTATCAATCAAAATAGACCCTTTTGTTTCTTCTTCTTCATCTTCTTGAATTTTTTTTCCATTAATCCAACCATCTTGATGAAAATTGGAATCACCATTTTCAAAAACAGAGCACTCTGTTTCTTTTTCATCTATTACCTCAACATAATCAAAATTACAATCCATAAAAACAGATCCTTTTGCTTCTCCTTCACTTTTCTTATCATATTCATCTTTCTTCTTCAAAACACAGCAATTTATTTCTCCTTTTACTTTCTCATCATTAGAATCAACCATCTCAAAAACAAAGTACTCTGTTTTTCCTTCTATTCCTTCACTTGCTATATAAAAATCTTCATTGCTTGGAAATATCAAATTAGCCATCTCTTCTGTGAACTTATCAATTTCATAATCTTGAAAATCACTCCTCTTGCTTTGTTCAACTAAACCAAGTGGAACATGTTGCTCATTTTTCCTTTGAAATCTAAAGCAACAAAAATGAGTAATCAAAATTTTCTTCTTCATGTATTTAACAAATAAAATAAAAAGAGTAAAATTTACCAAACCTGAATATGTATGTGAGTATCAACCCAATAAAATGAAGCACATGGTTGCATAGGAAAATCCATATAGAAGCCAAAACCCAAATCAAGTTTTCATAAACAAAATCATTAGGAAAACATAACTTGATTGAATCAATATGAGTTTTTAGCATAACAATTTTTTTGGTACCCATAAGTGATCAACCTCTAAAAATTTGAAATCAAGTTATAAAGAATTCACCCATCCAAGATTCATCATCATGGTGATATAGTGATGAGTGAACATTTGCAAGAAGTGGAGAATGAAATATGTGGAAGAATATGATATGGCATAATTTAATTTTGGACCCAAAGAAAAATATAGCATATAGTTTGTATAAGGAAATAAAAAGCAAAGTGGTTTTTTTTCTTGGAGAATAAATTCAGCATAAATGTGATTTGATTAGGTCAATGGTATCTTGGTACGAACGGTTATAAATTTATTTTGTTTTAATGTTTAATGATCAAAATCTTATTTCTTTAAAATAAATAAATAAAATTGTACAGTCACATGTCTTTGAAATTAACAACTTATTTAAATTAAGTGACATATATCTACTATAAATTTTTTTCGCCTTTACTTAACTTTCCATCAATCTTTAGATTACATTGTTAAATTAAATATAAAAAATTATGTCTTGGTTGCTTTTTGTTTTCTTAATTTGGACTCAGTCGGTGGTGATTTTTGGGAATTACTTGGTCAATGTTTTGGAAAATTGGCCAAATTAGGATGAATGATGAATTAATGTAACTATTTTTTATATTTATTCTCGTTGTCATTTTTCTTTATGCACGAAAATGTAACTAATATAAAATTTAGACATGATTATAATAAACGGAAAAATATATTAACTAGTGTTTAGTGACATTAATTTGGTGTTAATATTCTATTATCTATGTCACTAAATAACAAGAATTAATACAATTTATTACGATATTAAAGTTATTTTCAATTATTGTTTGTAAAGAGACGGTAATAATTTGGAGATAAAAAATAAATTAAATTATTTTTATAAGACGAATAAAATACATTTATTTTTTTATATAATTTATTGATTAAATTAAAAAGTTGACTCACGTAGATATTGTAGATTTAACTCCTTTTATCGATTGAGTAAAAAAACTATTTCTGAGAACATTTTTGGTGAACTGTAAATTAATATATATTTTTTTTTGAATTTTGAGACATGTCCAGTGACATTCACAATGCAGTTTAATTTAATTTCGGGAAAGAAATTATTCCATCTAGAAATAAAACAAAACGTTTAAATTGATTTAAATGATTTTACAAAGAATTACTTTTTTTTTTATCACTTTACAAAGAATTACTTAGATATTAAATTTGATACTTAATTTAACAAATGCTAATGGATTATTAATGTTTAATAATGTTTAAAAAGAATATAATAACTCTTTTAGTGAGGAACATATTTATGGCTTAGTAATGGTTCAACAAAATTGATTAAACAATCTCAATGCTAATAACTTGAGATAGAATAACTCTGAGAGATTACACGACAAAATCAATTTGAAATAATATCTGGCATTTGTTCAGATAAGATTGTATAGTAGATCAAACTAGACCATGATATTTTTCTGCTAATGTCGTAACTCTTTTCCTCCAAAACATGGATCCCCGGTGAATTCATATGTAGTTTCCATGCAGGAAATGAACCTAATCTGCCAAAAGTATAATCATGTCCATTTAAGTAGCACCAATCTTCATGGTACATCAAATCAGACCAGACTCATTCATAAGCAATTTGTTAGATTGTTTTATGTACACTTTCAATACAAAGGAATAAAACTTCACAAAATTGTATAATGAGTTTCACAGTTAAGTTCAGCGATAAGTACCTCTAATACATTAGCTTTGTCAATAGAGCAAAGTTTTCCACTATGCTTCCGGAAAAATCTGGTGCAACAAACAAATAAGTGGTGTATAGATATCATAAATTAGAAAAATGCACATATAAAAATAATAAAGAAAATAGTTACCTGAATAGATGTCTGAATGGAAAAATAGAACAACAACAAGATCAGTCACACAAATAAGTTTTCCATATTAATAGTCGATGAATACAAGTTACATAATCAAAATAGATCCGTGGAAATTCACTACATAAAGTGATGTTGTTAAAACGATGCCTTTGAAACAATGTATAAACTGTTTCTCTATGATCAAGAAACACACAAGGGTAGAAAATATGAAAAAACAAGAAGAACACAAAGAATTAGTTATTAACTGTTATTCTTTACTTTCTCTTTAATCAAGGATTGAAGACGCTCTGATAAGGAAAGCTCTGAACAATTCGAATTTGAATTCAGAGCCATCGAAGAGAATATTGCTCTGATGAGGAAAGCTCTGAGCAATTCGAATTGATGCAGATATTGACTTAATCGAAGCAGCTCCAATGATGAAAGCTCTGAGAAATTCAAATTCGTGCAAGGCGCCAACCATAACTTGTCCATGTTCATTCAAAGCTCAAAAGCATGAAATCCTCAAAAAAGGCAACCCTTTTTAAGACTGTCGATTCTGCCTTCAAAACCTGATTAATGATTGTCTCTTGCCATTTCCATTCACCACTATCCCCTATAAATACAGGGCTAAAGACACATTGCCAGTGATGGAAAAAAGGAAGGGGAAAAAACAAAAACCATTAGAACAAAAGAAGGACGAAACATTGTCACAGAAAGATCATGCCTAAAACACACATATAGCTTACCTCACTAAAAAAACTTTGAAATCGTTTCAAGTTTTTCTGAGCACAGTTCATTCACCTTCGATCCAGTTCAAGCCATCTCCATCCAAACCAAGTGTTATGATCATCTCAGTAAGGTTCAAAGGGTAAGAATGAGTCGTTATTAACAGCAAAGCTGTTAAAGATGCCCACATATGCACCACCGGTTCCCATAATCATTTGAATTCACTTTTTTTTATATGTTTTGATGGATACCATTCATATTATTGTGTTACCGAGGTCCAAATATGCAGTTTATCATATAATCATTTTGTTGTGTTTGGATCAACGAAAGAGCAAGCAGTTCATAGGGTGAAGAAGGACGTGTGTAATCGAAAGGAATTGGGTATATGTATTGTTGTTTTTCCAACATGTTTCTTACAGATCCAGTATAATATGATCATATGTGCGCATCATATGCCATCAAATCCACACCATCAAATCTCAACTGAACCAAATCCAAGCGCCACAACATGCATGCCACGATGCACCTCCTGAAGGCCAACAACATCAGATCCAATGCTAGCTTGGGTCATCTCCTGATTTGGGCCTAACAAAATCTAATTCATACCACCCCTTGCTTACTTGTGATGCCTGGCCCTTTTTATATGTTTATTTTTATTCTTTTTTCTTAGTTACTTTTATTTAACTATAAAATCAGATTAAAAAAATCACAAAAAAATAGATTTAGTTCTTTTCTCTTAACTAATTTAATTTTCATAAATAAATTTAATTTAACTTAATCATGTTTTAGTATTTATTTCATAGTTAATTTGTAATTAGTTTAGACTCAGGTTTTAAATATTAAAGTCAAACCACAAAAATACCAAAAATATTTTTCTTAATACTTAGGTTTTTTTTAGGACATTTGATTTTCTTTCTAAACAATCTCCTCATTTTGTTTTCTATTTTTTCTTTTGTTATTTAAATTCTAGAAAAAATGTATAGGTCGCATATTTGATTTTGTAATAGTTAGTTTATCTTTGTCAATAGAGCAAAGTTTTCCACTATGCTTCCGGAAAAATCTGGTGCAACAAATAAATAAGTGGTGTATAGATGTCATAAATCAGACAAATGCACATACAAAAATAATAAAGAAAATAGTTACCTGAATAGATACCTGAATGGAAAATAGAACAACAACAAGATCAATCACACAAATAAGTTTTCCATATTAATAGTCGATGAATACAAGTTACATAATCAAAATAAATCCTTGGAAATTCACTACATAAAGTGATGTTGTGAAAACGATGCCTTTGAAACAATGTATAAACTGTTTCTCTATGATCAAGAAACACACAAGGGTAGAAAATATGAAAAAACAAGAAGAACACAAAGAATTGGTTATTAACTATTATTCTTTACTTTCTCTTTAACCAGATTACAAGTACACAAGAATAACAAATAACCCTCCCACTCTAAATTAGGATTTGTTGTCTGCTATGATGAGAGACTAGTATGGTATTTATAATAAACCTAACATACTAAACTAATGACATTTTTCACAAATATCCATTACAAGTTAACTTAGGGTACAAACTATCTTAAACAATTGGACATAACAAACAGGCCCAATTCGACATGCTAACAACCCTAGCATTCTCAACAACTACATACTGGAACATATTTCGACTACAACATGTAAGTCTTTGATAACAGCATGTGAGCAGACTTTGATGGCATGCTAAACTCCTGTCGAACTGTCGAACCACGAAGCTACCATTCGACTCAATAGAGTTAGATCCAATATCTCACAAATCTCCACCTTGGAACAAACTCTATAATATTAAAGAACAAACTAGCTTTCTTCATGCAGCTTTATCAACTGCATACAGTGGAAAAACTTATCCAGAATTGTTGTGCCAAACATAGTTAAAACATATCCAGAATAGATTTTCTAGAATCCATACAACCTGCTTAATCAGAGTCGGCGTATCATTCGATTACTGCTTTACTATCTTCGTCCAAGGCTTCACCATAAATTAAGACTATGTTCAGAGACCCATTTATGTATCTTAGAATCCACTTCAATGCTTTCCAGTGAGCCTTTCCAGGATTCGCCATGGACCTGCTTACAAGACTTACTGCATATGTTATGTCAGGTCTAGTACATACCATATCATACATCAAAGAACCCACTATGTTAGCATATGTAATGCTATTCATATAAGCTCTTTCGACCTCAGTACTAGAACACTGATCTATACTCAGCTTGAATTGAGGGTTTGTTGGAGTCACAACAAGCTTTGAATTCGACATACCAAACTTGTCGAGAATCTTCCGTAGGTATGCGTCTTGAGATAAGCATAATTTCGACTGCTTTCTATCTCTTTAGATGTCAATCCCAAGAATCCTAGACACAACTCCTAGATCCTTCATGTCGAACTCCTTATTAAGTTCAACCTTCACCC